CCTCCTCCTCCTCCTCCTCCTCCTCGTCCTCCTCCTCCTCCTCCTCACACTCATCCTCATCGTCATCACCACCACCAACATCATCATCATCATCATCATCATCATCATCATCATCATCATCGTCATCATCACCATCATCGGCATCAGCATCATCATCATCATCATCAACATCATTAGCATCATCATCACTATCAGCATCAACATCATCAACATCGTCATCACCACCAACATCGTCGCCATCGCCAGCATCACCGTCATCCTCATCACCATCGTCATCACCATCGTCATCATCGTCATCATCACCATCATCAGTACTACCATCATCATGGCCACAACCATCATACTCACCAGCACCATCACCACCACCACCATCATCACCATTACCATCAACATCACCATCACCATCAGCACCATCAGCACCATCATCATCATCATCATCAGCATCAGCATCAACATCATCATCAACATCAACATCATCATCGCCATCGCCATCACCATCGTCATCATCATCATCATCACCATCATCAGCATCCGCGTCATCAACACCGCCATCATCATCAGCATACGCATAATCACCATCATCACCACCACCACCGCCAGCATTATCATCATCCGCATCATCATCATCAGCATCATCATTAGCATCACCATCACCATCACCACCACCACCATCATCGTCAGCATCACCATCACCATCACCATCATCATCATCATCATCATCATCATCATCAGCATCGTCATCATCATCGTCATCATCATCGTCAGCATCGTCACCATCATCGTCACCAACAACACCATCATTTGCATACTCGTCATCATCGCCGACAGCGGCATCCTCATCATTGCTATCAGCATCATCAGCATCAGCACCATCAACATCACCATAATCCCTCCTCCCTCCTCTCACTCCTCCCTCCTCCCTCCTCATCCTCCTCCTCCTCCTCCTCCTCTTCCTCCTCCTCCTCCTCCTCCTCATCCTCCTCCCTCTCCCTCCTCCCTCTTTCCCTCCCTCCTCCGCCCCTCCTCCCCCTCCCCTCCCCCTCCTCCTCCCTCCTCCCTCCTCCTCCCCTCCTCTCCCGCCCTCCTCTCTCCCTCCCTCCCTCTCTCCCTCCCTTCCTCCTCTCCCTCTCCTCCTCTTCCTCCTCCTCTCCCTCCTCCTCCTCCTCCTCTCTTCCTCCTCCTCTCTTCCTCCTCCTGCACTCCTCCTCGTCCTCCTCCTCTTCTCCTCAACCTCCTCCGCTTCCTCCTCCTCATCATCCTCCTCCGACCTCCCCTTCTCCTCTCCTCCTCCTCCTCCCCTCTCTCCTCCCTCCTCCTCTTGTCACTCCCCCCCCTCCTCCTCTCTCCTCCTGCGCCGCCTCCTGCTCCTCTCCTCCTCCTCCCTCCTGCGCCACCTCCTCCTCTCTCCTCATCCGTCCTCCTCCTCCTCCTGCGCCGCCTCCTCCTCCTCTCCCGCTCTTCCCTCCTCATCCTCCATCTCCTCCCTCCGTCTCTCCCTTCCTTCCCTCCCTCGCTTACCTCCTCCTCTGTCTCCTCCTCTTCCTCTGCCTCCTCCTCCTTCTCCCTCCTCCCATCTCCCCCCCATCCCTCCCTCCCTCCCTCCTCCTCCTCCCTCCTCAGTCTCGTCCTCCGCCTCCTCCTCCTCCTCTTCCTCCGTGTCCATCCTTTTCCTTCCCTCCCTCCCTCCGCCCTCCTCACAGACGGCCCAAGAGGCACCCAAGAAGGTGTCCCACAACAGACCCCCAGACGTCCCCAAGAATCCGCCACGAAGCTCCACGACGACTGCATAACGCCCTCAAGCGCATGCCCACGACAGCCGCGGAGGGACCACGTCCCCAAATCCACGACGACTCTGGCCCACGACACAAGCAATGAATGCGCGATTCGACCCCGCGAACGCTCTATGAAAAGGTCCAGGGGCTCCAAGCTCTCAGAAGGAAGTCCCTGCGAGCTCTCCGAAGACAATTCAAGACCATGCCTGGCGGCGACTCTGACCCAACACCCAGGCACAGCACCTTCCCCTTCGCCTCCTCGTCCTCCTCGCCCTCCTTCCTCGTCGTCCCCCTCCTCCGTCTCCCCCTCCGCCTTCTCATTCTCCTCCTCGACCCGCTTCTTCATATCGTCCTCCCCCCTGGTCGCCTGTGCCAACAGTCCTCTCTTTCCACGGCCGTCGTCGTCATCCGAAGAGGGGGACCACGAACCGAAACTCTGAGTCTTCTGGCCCAAGATGCCCCCAGGAGCCCCCCCCCCCCGATAGACCCCAAGAGGCTCCCCAAACGCTCCACGATGCCCCCAAACGCAGCCCGCCAACTGCCCCTGAGAAGCCTCCCACGGCACAAGCCACTGACCACCCTAGATGCTTATGGCTCGCAACCCAGGCACGATGGCAGGATCTGCCGCATGCGACATACATGTATACACACATCCACACACATACCTATATATGTACGTGCCTTCATACACACACAAACAGACCCACCCGCCCACCCACCCACCCATACATACGTACATGCATGCATGCATACATACAACTATACATATTCACATCCATCCATCCATACATTCACACATCCTCACACATACGTACCTGCATGCACACACATGCATGTCTGCATGCACACGTACGCACATACACACACCCACACCTACGTACGCACATGCACACACATCCATACATCCATCCATACATCCATACATCCATCCAGTCATCCATCAATGCATGCATGCACATGTACACATACTTACATGCATGCATGCATGTATGCATATGTACATACATACATACATACACACATACATACATACATACATACATACATACACATACATACATACATACATACATACATACATACACACATATACGTATACATATACACATACATATACATATACATATACATATACACATACACATACACATACACATACACATACATACACATATACATATACATATACATATACATATACATATACATATACATATACATATACATACATGCATGCAAGCATACGTACATACATACATACACACATACACACATGCATGCCTACCTACCTACCTACCTACCGACCTACCTACCTAGCTAGCTAGCTAGCTACCTACCTGCCTACGTACATACACACATACACACATACATACGTACATGCACGCACACATCCATACATACATACACGTATGTATACACATACACTAACATATATGCACATACTTATACACACATATGCATACCTACATGCCTACAACCCGTTAGCTACACACACATATGCTGGTATGCAGTTGTTTCTGTATACCTACGTATACCTATGTAGATGTATATATAGGGGTGCATGTGTGTCATCTGTGGTGGCGGCGGCAACAATTCTGCTGATCAAGGGATTGGGCGCGAACGCTCTGCGCCTTCCACTGGGAAATCGGTTTCGTGAAGAAGACGTGGACGTGGTGACACACATTCCCAACGAATTCCCAACCACCTGTGGTGTTGGTCGTCGTTTTGAAGAGACGGTCCCCGCGTTCCTCTTCTCCTCCTCTCCCCCCTCCTCCTCTCCACCGCCCGCATGCGTCCCTCACACGTTTCGTGGCCCCATATGCAGCCCCACCAGAGCCCCCAGTGGGACCGCCCGCATGCGCTCCCCACACCCAATTTGGCATTTCCACCCACCCAATACAACGTTTCGTGCCCCCATAGGGAGCTCCACCGAAGCCCCCAGTGGGACCGCCCGCATGCGCCCCCCACACCCAATTTGGCGACTTCACCAACCCAGTACAGCGCTTCGTGGCCCCATAGAGAGCTCCACAAAAACCCAGTGGGACCGCCCGCATGCGTCCCCCACACATATTTTGGCATTTTCACACGCCCAATGCAGCGTTTCGTGGGCCCATAGGGAGCTCCACCGAAGCCCCCACCCCCCGTGGGACCGCCCGCATGCGCCCCCCACGCCCAATTTGGCATTTTCACCCACCTAATACAGCGCGTCGTGGCCCCAAAAGGAGCTCCAAGGAAGCCCCCAGTGGTACCGCCCACACGCGTCCCCCACATCCAATTTGGCATTTACACCCACCCAGTATAGCGTTTCGTGGCCAAATAGGGAGCCCCACAGAAGCCCCCAGTGGGACAGCCCGCATGCGCCCACCACACCCAATTTGGCATTTTCGCCCACCCAGTACAGCGCTTCGTGGCCCCATAGGGAGCCCCACCGAAGCCTCCAGTGGGACCGCCCGCATGCGTCACCCGCGCACAATTTGGCATTTTCACTCACCCAGTACAGCGCTTCGCGGCCCCATAGGGAGCTCCACCGAAGCCCCCAGTGGTACCACCCACATGCGCACCCCACATCCAATGTGGCATTTTCACTCACCCAGTACAGCGTTTCGTGGCCCCATAGGGAGCCCCACCGAACCCCCCAGTGGGACAGCCCGCATGCGTCCCCCACACCCAACTTGGCATTACCACCCACCCAATACAGCGCATCGTGGCCCCATAGGGAGCCCCACCGGAGCCCCCAATGGGACCGCCCGCACGGGTCACCCACACCCGATTTGGCATTGTCACACATCCA